TGTTGGGCTTTTTGTCACAAGACTTAGTGTGATAGCCATTGGTCTTCTCACACTTGTCGCACCTAATAAGAAAGTGTGTACAGGTGGATGCATGCCTGCCATTCCAATAATCGTTAGGGATTAATTGGTACATGTCGTACCCACACTGTGCGTCCGCACATTTCTTAATCTCCTTAAATGGAGGTTCCTTGTCCTTCGCCTCCGCGCGTGCCCGTTTATTGGGTCGAGTGGATAAAGTGGAGTCGCGAGAACGTGTATGTTGGGGTCTCTCGTTTGAGGTCTGCCTGAATACGTATCCGTGATCGGTGTGCTCCCGCGGCTTCTTAACAGCCACTTTTCCCTTTGATGCTACTTGGTGTGCGGGAAAAAGGATGAATATAGTATCATAAAACTGTTTTCTCGTAAGTCAGGATAGATGAAACTTTGTTTCACGTCCCTTGTTACGAGCCTCAGTCGCGTGTTGACGTCGCAACTCGGTGTACAGGCTCTCACGGTCGTTATTCCTTATGTTCTTACAGAACACGTACATAACCAGGAACTCGTACCATCGCTGTGCCTTGTCCTTTGTTATATCTGGACGTTTTAGGTCAGCATCTAGCTTTGGGATATAACTCTGAATGGGCGTGTTCTCAACTGGTTCAGTTAAAATTGAACTCAGTCCTGGGCTACGCATATCCTTACTTAACAAGGATATAACTAACAAACACACAGCTGGCCAGTCCCGACAAGTGTCTAGCTCATGTTGGTGTCGCTGCAGGATAAAATAACTTGTACCTGTAGGGTCAAACGTCTGCATTAAAGCAGAGATCCATTGCTGGGGAGCGATATTATTCGTCTCCAGCATGACCATAAACGCATTAAGCGTATGGGTTAGCGTGTCGAGGTCATGGTTGTTTATAAACTCGACCTGCTTACTGTTGGCATCCTAGTTCGACTTAAGTCGACTGATCGTACTTCTGGTTGTCCCTGTGGTCTTGTCCACGTTGGGCCTGAAGTAGCTGAGATCGATGCCCTTTTGCTTAATTTCAATCATATTAGCAAAATATGATACATCCTCGGCATTATGCGCATCGTGTGCGATTTCCATTTTAATGGTATAATCGCCGACCGATTTGTTAAGTTCGGTCACCTCGTCAGAGTGAAAATCCTCTGGGGGTTGATGTAGTGCTGTGCGATCGAAGCGAGTAAATTCGACTTCGTTATCACGTTTACTTTATTACCCCGTGTAAAGTCCATGGTCGAGGCCTTTCGGTGCTCTGTTCCTCGGATAGTGGTTGGTATTATAATCTTGGGTGATTTATGCGTCTGGATAACATACCCAGTCTTAACTGGTTTCCGACGATTGTCATCCCAATTGGGTAAAAGTGGCGGAGATTTTCTACCTGCCTCTGGGTCTATAATACCCTCAAGGACGGGTGACTCACGGCCGGGTGTCAGAACAGGCGAGTAATTAACCTGAAGTTCTGGTGGTAGTACCTCGTAAGGTATAGATACGCTGAGCACATCTGGATCATCACATAAAATTGAATGTTCTCGTCTCCCCTGTTTTTCAGGTTCTTTGTCATATGTAGCCTTCTGAAAATTAGACATCTTTGTCCCCCTTTTTTAGGTTCGGTACATAGCCTTCTTGTTTTTTTAGAAGGCAATGTTCGGTACCTTTTTTAAAACGAGTCAATTTTTTAATTTTTAGGCCCTCCCCGAGTACCCGAGTCCTGGAGTTCTCTTTAAAAAAATACAGAACGGGGCTTGATATAATTTTGGGACAATACTGATGAGGATGGTTCATAAAATTATAAGGGTTTTTCATAGCCTTCTGAATTTGAAATACGGGGTATGTATAATATTCTATTTTTTTCTACAGATTTTATCGATGATGTTTTGTGTGTAATGTGTACATTTGTAAACATAATATTTACAGCCCAAAGGCAGGCTCGTGACCCGCAAATCAGTGCTGTGATTGGCGGAAGTAAAGCTTCAGTTCGGTACCAAGTATCAACTTGTGCGGAATTTTGGAACACCTGGTCCTGGAGTTCTGGAGTACTGGCCCCTCATCCCTTGTGGATATATTATTCCCAAAAAAAAATGGAAAACTGCAGTGGCGATATTGTGTATAATGAATAAGTATCTAAAATAACAACAAATTATAACCGGTTTTTTGTCCCGGTATACGTACCGGTACCTGCCCACTCGTGTATTAAGATTGCTTCCACACGTTTGGCTATCTATAATTTTTTTAAATTTATGAGCTGTGTGGTTTGATCGATCGTGAAATCCAAACAAATATACGAAAGAACCGACTGCGCGCCGCAGACTTCCTACGCTTTACACGCGTCACTAAATAGGTCATAGACTAGGAAGAGCACAACAACCGTCACCATGGGTAAGTGAATAGTTGGAAGTTGTGTCGATGGAATAATGTATCGATGTAATATGTATCGATCGAGTACGAGAAACTTATGTTACGGTGGCGATGTCAAAGGAGGAGGAGAAATGGCAATGTGAAGAAAACCTTGTTTGCATCGAGTTGGTCTGAGCTGCATTAGTGTCGCTGCCTATATATTTTACGTTGAAGGTTTGCGTATGTTTGCAAATAATGATTTCAGTATTTGTAATATTGAGTTTTATGTTGTTTGAGAAAGAGTTTGGAGTGGTTAGTTTTGTTACTGAATTCTATTACCTGGTTTCTTGGTGGGATGTCATGCTATCGATGAAAAACAGCAAGTTAGTTCTACAATTTCTATCATAATGATGATATGTACGTGTATTAGCTAAAAGTTGTCACGATGATATTCAAGTTTTTTAATCTAATTTTTTTTTTTGCAACAGTACATTTCACCGTTGACCAGATCCGTGAGATCATGGGTCGTTCTAAGAACATCCGAAACATGTCTGTGATTGCCCACGTCGATCACGGAAAGTCCACACTGACTGATTCCCTTGTGTCAAAGGCCGGTATTATTGCCGGAGCCAAGGCTGGTGAGACTCGTTTCACAGATACACGTGCTGATGAGCAGGAGCGTGCTATCACCATCAAGTCCACAGCCATCTCCCTGTACTACGAGCTTAGTGACAGAGATATGACCTTCGTTAAGCAGGAGACTCACCCAGGATGCAACGCTTTCTTAATTAACTTGATCGATTCACCCGGTCACGTTGATTTCTCATCTGAGGTAACCGCGGCCCTTCGTGTCACTGACGGTGCCCTAGTTGTAGTTGACTGTGTGTCTGGTGTGTGTGTACAGACCGAGACTGTCCTTCGTCAGGCCATCACAGAGCGTATCAAGCCCATTCTTATGATGAACAAGATGGACCGCGCGCTCCTTGAGCTTCAGTTGGAGCCCGAAGATATGTACCAGACTTTCCAGCGTATCATCGAGAACGTGAACGTTATCGTCGCCACATACGGAGATGAGGATGGACCTATGGGACGTATTATGGTTGACCCCATTGTTGGTACTGTTGGTTTCGGTTCAGGTCTACACGGCTGGGCTTTCACACTGAAGCAGTTCGCCACCACATACGCTGCCAAGTTCAAAATGGAGGAGAGCAAGCTCATGTCTCGATTCTGGGGAGACAATTTCTTCAACCCCAGCACAAAGAAGTGGAAGAAGTCCCCTGGAGATGGATACAAGCGTGGTTTCGTACAGTTCGTACTTGACCCCATCTACAAGGTCTGTGATGCCGTCCTCAAGAACAAGAAGGATGTCACCGAGAAGCTTATGAACGCACTTGGCGTCAAGCTGACCAACGAGGAGAAGGAGCTAGAGGGTAAGCCTCTGCTAAAGACTGTTTTCCGTAAGTGGTTGCCCGCCGGAGACGCTCTTTTGGAGATGATCACCATTCATCTGCCATCCCCTTACACCGCCCAGGCCTACCGTACCGAGATGTTGTACGAAGGACCTATGGATGATCCTATCGCCATGGGAATGAAGGCTTGTGATCAGAACGCACCTCTGATGTTGTACGTATCTAAAATGGTACCCACAGCTGATCGTGGACGTTTCTACGCCTTCGGTCGTGTGTTCTCAGGAACCGTTGCCACCGGACAGAAGGTCCGTATCCAGGGACAGAACTTTATCCCCGGCAAGAAGGAGGATCTATACCTCAAGCCCATTCAGCGTACCGTGCTTATGATGGGTCGTTTCACCGAGGGTATGTATAACTTTTCTATTTCATCCTTGTTGCACACTTGCGCGTTTAGTTGTTGGATTTTATGCCGGTTTCGCCGAATGTGTTTGGTTTGATACGCAAGTAGCTAATTGTGTGATGTGATATTTTTAATTATTGCAGCTATCGAGGATGTTCCCGCTGGTAATATTGTCGGTCTTGTTGGTGTGGATCAGTTCATCATGAAGACTGGTTCCATCACCACCTATGAGCACGCCCACAACTTGAAGGTCATGAAGTACTCTGTGTCTCCTGTTGTGCGTGTTGCCGTCGAGTGCAAGAACCCCCAGGATCTACCCAAGCTTGTAGAAGGACTAAAGCGTCTTTCCAAGTCCGATCCGCTAGTACAGATCACCATGGAGGAGTCTGGAGAGCACATTATCGCTGGTGCCGGTGAGTTGCATCTTGAAATTTGTCTTAAGGATTTGGAGGAGGACCACGCCGGTATCCCCATCAAGAAGTCCGACCCTGTTGTGTCGTACCGTGAGACCGTCACTGAGGAGTCCAACCAGCTTTGTCTATCGAAGTCTCCCAACAAGCACAACCGTCTGTACGTAAAGGCTGCCCCTCTTCCCGATGGTTTGGCCGATGCTATTGAGGACGGTAAGATCAAGCACAACCAGGATATGAAGGAGCGTGGTAAGGTACTTGTTGACGAGTGGGAGTTCAACGCCGACGATTCTCGTAAGATTTGGGCTTTCGGACCCGAGACTGCTGGACCCAATTTGTTGATCGATACCTCCAAGGGAGTTCAATATATGAACGAGATCAAGGACTCGTGTGTCGCTGGTTTCCAGTGGGCTTCCAAGGAAGGTGTACTTTGTGACGAGTACATGCGTGGAATCCGTTTCAACATGATTGATGTTACCCTGCACGCCGATTCCATCCATCGTGGAGCCGGACAAATCATGCCTACCATGCGTCGTGTCATCTACGCCTGCGTGTTGTCTGCCGAGCCCCGTCTATTGGAGCCTTACTATCTTGCTGAGATTTCCGCCCCCGAGGTGGCTATTGGAGGTATCTACTCATGTCTTAACAGACGTCGTGGTATCGTTATTGGAGAGGAGCAGGTTGCTGGAACCCCTATGTACATGATCAAGGCTCATCTTCCCGTCAACGAGTCGTTCGGCTTCACCGCCGATCTTCGATCACAGACCGGTGGACAGGCGTTCCCTCAATGTGTGTTCGATCACTGGGGTGCTATGGCTGCTGATCCTCTTGAGGAAGGTTCGCAGGCCAACAAGATTGTTTGCGATACCCGGGTCCGCAAGGGTCTTAAGCCCGATATCCCACCTTTCGACTATTTCTGTAAGTTCTGTTTTTTTTTTGGTCGAGAAATTTGTCTATTTATCGATTGTTCTATATACTTGTTACCAATTCATACTTATAATACTATTCACTTTCTTTTTTAATTTGCAGATGATAAGCTTTAAATGCTTAGTTTGTATAAACTACTGTGGAAGAGAATCTTGATGATTCTACAAAGTTAGCTGCGTTATGCTTAAAAAATGTAGAAAGTGGCATCCGCTGCCATCGTATTAACCAATGTATCGGAACGATCGACATTAGTGTTGTTACGTATATGTGGATATAATAAAGTCATAATATAGAAGAAGTATGGTCTATTCATTTTTCGTTTTTGAGTGTCTGAATACTGTATCTGTCGGATGCAGTAGCTCGACAAGTCGTGCAATAACTGGGGTTCAAAGTTGGTTTATTGTTAAATCCTTGCAGTGAGAATGTCAAAGATGTTCTATGTAAGTTCAACATTTTGTTAATGAATGTTGTAGTAAGTATGCGCTAGATAACTGTATCTCAACGTTCTCGCTCCTCAGGGAGGGGGACGTTGTTCATTTATTAATAATTATAAACAGAAATCCTAAAATGAGTCATTAGTCATGTGCTGTAAAACCAGCAAACCCAGTTTATCAGATTATTCTGATAAACTGTAAAACTTGTAATAAACCTAAAATAATCAAATAAATCTAAGTACTTGTATCCTGACCACAACCCCCCCAAACTGAAGCACTGAACAAAGCAATGTGCCAGTTTCAGAGATGATAAGAATAACATAGTACCTTATGTGCTGGCATTTAACCTCTGAGAGCTAGAGGGCTCGAAAATCACGGTTCGAGCGTACCGTTCGACCGAATGGTCGTCAAAGAGTTATCATTAGATTTGTGCGCGTTGGCGTTTACGTGTTCGTGTCTGCGAAGCTTTGTGGTAGGCCGCGATATCGTTGGCATCATCAAAAGCTTCTGCTGTTTCCCACGTTGGTTCGCCTTCTCGCCATCTCACCAGGTATTCCAACTTCCCTGTCTCATCATTCGTACGGTGTGTGATAATATGGCGAAACTCAACCCCTCCTTCGGTCCATAAGTCTTCGTTAATTGGTGGGTCTGTGTGTCTATGCACTAAACGGAGGAGTTCCACCCGTACCGGTTTGTCCTTGAATTCTGGTGGGGCGGAACCATCTTTGTTCGCTAACTCATAGCGTTGACCGTGTCTAGCTTTGACCACATATGGTCCAAACAATGACCGCATAGCCTTAGTTGTTCGGCCTTCTGATCGTACCATGACCACATCTCCTTCGTCGAAATGTACCAAGTCGTGAGCATGCAGACGGTCAAATGTCGTCGTAAGCTTGCCTGTATACTTCTTGGTGATGTGGTGGAGGGTCGACAATATAAGGTCCTGTAACTGGTCTAATCGTTGTGCCCAGGTGTCATTCGTCATCGGCTGAGAATCCGGTAACTCGTCCGTGAAATCGGCGAACGGAACATGGCGGCGGCCAAAGTACACGCTAAACGGCGCACTCTTATGGCGGCGGGATATCCGAAGGTTCTGGTATAGCATCGTAAACGGAAGGCGTTCGTCCCATCGAAGGGGAACTGCCTCACAGCGTTGTCGAATAGAACGTGTAATCTCCTTATGACGTCGTTCCGCCGCGCCCAGCACTTGGGGTCGATATGGTGGAGACACCTTATGTAGCATCCTCACTTCTTGCACCAGAAGCTCCACTATCTTGTTGGTGAACTCATTCCCCATTTCTGTTTAGATTTTACGGGGGAAACCATGTTCGCCAAAAATCTCTATGAGTGTCTGTGTCGTGGTTTCCTTTGTCTTGTCCAGTGTAGCTCGAAGAATAGAATAGCCTGTGGCGATGTCCAAGACGTGAAGAATATAATTGTTCATGCGTCTGGACTTCAGTGGCATCGGGATGTAGTCCACTACCGGTAGCGTGCATCGATGCTAATCATCGGGTGGAAACCTTTACGAAGTGTGTTCTGTCCCAAACATGTGCCACATTGCCGCTTATCCTCTGTGGCTAACTCAAGTGCCCCTGGCCAAACATGACCGTTCTGACGAAGTTGTTGGACTGTGTCCGCCGCCCCATGATATCCTTGTTTGTGTTGCGCTTGCGTGAGTTGCGTACGGCGCTGTTTCTCCTCTGGACTCGCTTATGCAAACGCCGGTTGACCCTCTGCATCTGCCATTGCCACTGAGATTTCTTGCGCTGTATCTAAGCACTTGACATATTTTGTATGCTTTGGTTCTGCATAACCAAGTCGCTGTGAAAACAGCGGATCTAATTTGAACCCATTGGGAGGACCCACCCGTGCTACTACGGTATGACTTCATGGTGTCTTCCCACATGCGTACTTATCGTACTTGAGGAACGTGTGTGGTGTCCGTGGTACCAGCACCGGTTCTGTCTGCAATAACTGCTTGAACATGTCAAACCATGGTGCTCTTGGTACCCATGGTAGACATACTGTGGCCCGTGCGCCGTCGGCTCGTATCTTGCGTAACATCCTGTGTATCTGTTCCCAAGGCGGGTTCATCCATCCATCGACTATCGACCAGTCGTGGGCAAACGCTCCTCCCCCATCATCCTTCATCCAGAACCGAGGAAGCTGAGCGTTGGTTGGGTCCGCAAATACATCTATGTCATTCGGTCCGAAGTGTTGTTGCGCTTGTTCAAAGTAACTAGGGAATAACTGCTAGCAGTTTGTGTACATTATTTCGAATTCGTCCTGCTCCGCTGTCCCCTCGTGTACTCTACTTAACATGTCCGGGAGCACATTTGTCTCTCCTGGTATATGCGATATGGTGAAATTGAATGGCGCGATGATATGATGCCATCTCTGAAGCATCGGATTAAGCTTGAGCTGTGTGTTCATATACACAAGGGCCTTGTGGTCCGTGAAGACTGCAAAACGTTGCCCATCCAAGTATTGCCTGAAATGTGACAGTCCATATACCAATGCCAGTGTAGAAATACGA